TAAAAGTTACCATGGTAACCATTGTCTACTATTCAATTTATCATTGTAATTAGATATGAATAGATATCCCAAATAAATAGTTCCCTAGAACCACGCGGGCGAAGCCGCTGGCGGAAAGCTTAGAAGTCACATAAATGACTATAAATGGCAAAAAATAATAAAGTTAGAAGGTAAAAAAATGTAAAATGCCAAACTATAGTGTAAGATTAGTCTATATAGTAGATGGTGAATCCCCAGTAATTCTTCTTTTTATGAGGAGTACCACAGAATATGGCACATTAGTCTATACTTATACTGTTTTCACTGGTTAATTTCATTTTCGTCCTGATTCATTTGTTGCTACAAACTCCAACATTAAATCAAACTTTTTAAAAACTCTTTAATAGCATTCATTGACACTGTACTGATTAAGGCAAGTCACGGTTGTATGCCAACGATTTTTATTGTTATCAAGATTCTCGCTCGTAAAAATATTTACCTATTTAAAATTATATCGCACCACAGATATTATGTAAAATAGGTGTGACATATGCAGATATACTGTAAAAGACAAAAGACTATCTATGAAAACAAATGCGAGTTGAAATAATATGACTACACATTTTTTGTGTGTTCAGTATGATCTGCCTGCACACAAGACACCAAATATCTGCATTAAAATTTAGACTTCTCCATCATTAGATTTAGGTTTTAGTTTTGGGTTTTTGGAAGTGTGCGTATTATGAACTGTTCATTAGTATAAGCTGAATATCACAAAAGTACTCAACAGCAGTGTTTAATCTTAATGTCTAATTTTGTAAAACAATTGTAGTACTAAAAATAATAGAAAAATAACATGAAATCTATCTATCGATATTATGAAATTCAATTGCTCTCCGTTTGTTTCACTTAGCTGATTTTGGTTTTAAAATGTTTTTATTAGTCCAGGCAAGGTATAAACGGTGAGAGGTACTATGAAGTACACCGGATCATCTATTCTAAAATATAAACCTGCTCGAATATGTAATAGGTAACATCATTATAGGAAAAAAATCATTTAAATAGTCATTTATTTGACTCACTTATGAAGATAATGGCACAAAGACTGACTCATTTGGTAAAACAAAACTGTGTTTGAACGGTTGGCATATTGCGGGAAACCAAATAACCATAAATCGACATTTTTACATAACAATAGAGTTACCGAGCGTTTTATCGTAACAATTTTCATTACCTTTGATCGGGTTATAGCTACAATGATAAAATTTTATAATAAATTCTCTGTTTCTTAAGAATCTACACTCAGAAAAATGTTGAATCTTCGCATTGGCTTTAGAAAGTTTGTAAAGCCAAAATGATGTCTGGACAATAGCCGCTATGGGTATAAAGGAGTCGGTTTCATAATATGATTTCAGCTTAACGTTAATAAATATAAGACAATATCACATACCTTGTTTATATTCCAAATTGAGTAAATCTACAATTTGAGTACCTGAAAATTCTGAAAATTCCAAATTGAGTATCTGAAACAACAAACACATCATAAACAGGCGATGTGTTTGTTGTCACTATTGACACATCAATAGACGCGAGACAATATATAAAAGTCCATTTTTTACATTGACCCGACCGGGATTCGAACCCAGGACCTCACAGATGGCGACACCTTAAAACCAGAGACCGCAATTTTAGTAAAAATGTAGTATTAAGTAAATGTGAACTATAGCGAGAGTGTGCCCTGTATCATGTGTTATATCTAATGAAACTTAATTAATGATAGTTCATCTTATGATTCTTAGGAATTTAACTGATAAATAAGTTCATTTTAATTATGTTATTATTGCTTATGGCACTGTGGTCAGTGCATTCGGTTTATGATGCGGAAATTAAGCAATCTTGCAAGGGTTGGATGGGTGATCTATATTTTTTTATCTTGGTCTTCTCCCTGCTTTGGATGGTACGTTGAGCCGTCCGGCTGCATCTGCAGTGGGCCCGCCTGGTGAGTAATGTCACTGTCCCCGTTTCATTCAGGACTGTCCAATCCCAGGCTTTCATTTAACATTTAACAGATCAGTCACAGCTTTAGTTACAAAGCCGCCGTAAGTGCCGCTTATTTTAAGTATAAGACACGTTAAGAGTATAAGAGAGCAACAGAGGGAGAGAGACCTCAACTTACTTATATTATTGTTATCACATCGCATTGGCTTTTGAATTCGCCTAATTTAGCTTTGTAGTAAAGCGTTATCTCTGTTACATGAAACACTATCAATTCGAGGGTCTATCTGCTATACCACATAACTTTGTTGATGTGGATTTCAGGTAAGCCGACATGGGAAATCAATTTTAGGCAGACAATCTTACACGGTAGCTCCAACTGTAATTAATCAGCATTTTTAAATGAAAGGAAATAAAATGAATTAAAATGTTTACGTAGTCGACAGTAGGCATTAAAACAACTGTTAGTGTGTATAAGATATAATTTAAATTAACTGGTGGTCTGTTTTCAAAGGTCGATGAGCAATATTTATCGTTGAGTGGATACTATATGAAAACATTAAACAAACAAGATAAGAAAATGGTGAATCATCCAGATTTAATGTAATATAGGAAAGTTTATAGTAGTATTGCATAATACCATAAACCGCTATTACAATTGCTATACCTTTAAAAGTTTGACGACAAGTCCACTGAATAGGAATCTGAGCTAGAATATCAGAGACAGTCACAATATAAAACAACATACATTCGAAAGCTCATAATTTCAGTATTGTACTTTTCTTCAGTATTTACATATTTGTGTAATATTAGACACATGACATATGGCTCCACCAGTTTTCTCCAGCGTGATTAAAGTCAAAGCAATTTATTTATATACTATTTAGTTTAACTTTATATACTATTTAGTATTTAAGGTCAATAAAACATAATTTATTAGTACAATAGTTAAAATACATAGTGCTTTAATTTAATAAATTACATGCATAGTCAATAGCACATTAAACATACAAAACCTAAATACGTAGTATGTAGAGTTCAAAATTAAATGAGGAAAGGGTTTAGCCGGATACGTATGACGAGTCGGCCCCCAAATGGGAATCGATATCGAAACTTATGTTTTAATATCGACTTGATGTTCAAACACGATTTATGTACTTTTCGCGACCGACTTCCGCTTTGACCTTGAGATAGAGAGCAAAATATCCGTATGCTTGACTATTACTGAATGTGATATAACTCTGAAGCTAATTAAGATAAAGAAGTGAAACTAACGCGAGGTGTTAGGTTACATTAAAGAGTATATCACATATATTTTTTTATAATTTTTAGAATAAAAAATTACATAAAAAAAATAAAAAATAAAAAAAAACATTTTTTTTTCTGAGTTCTCTATGACTTACAATCACGAAATTAATATATGTTGTGCTCCTTTGTGTGCTCTATTACCCATAAAAATTGCGTGAAAAAAAAGTTGGTGCAACACAACGAAAAAAAATTATATGTGATTTCTGTCTTATGGTATACCCCTGTATTATAAGGTGCACATTACATCATTGTTTTTTTTTTTCGAAATTTCACATCAGCATGTTTTAAAACATAAGTAAATAGTCTTAAGAGATGGGATAATAGTTAAAAAAGAAATGAAAAAAAAAACAGCCAGTGTTCAATACTTATTATTATTACTTTTTCGTGTCAATCAAAATACAAGAAACAAAATATTAATCATCGTCACTGTTGTAAATTATTACAATCAGCTCAGATACCGTTAAACAATTCAGTGTGGTTTTTTTTCAGTTCCAACGCAATATATGAAAAGTACGGTTCCAAGTACAATATATGAAAAGTAGAATGGAAATAGAAATTACTAGAATGGAAATAGATTTTATTCACAGGCTCATATCAATTTTCACAAGATATATCTTACTTGGTCAAAATAAGTTATTTGCGACTCAAAGTGTTCCGATTGTAATTGTAATTAAGTGACGATGATTAATATTTTGTTTCTTGTATTTTGATTGACACGAAAAAGTAATAATAATAAGTATTGAACACTGGCTGTTTTTTTTTTCATTTCTTTTTTAACTATTATCCCATCTCTTAAGACTATTTACTTATGTTTTAAAACATGCTGATGTGAAATTTCGAAAAAAAAAACAATGATGTAATGTGCACCTTATAATACAGGGGTATACCATAAGACAGAAATCACATATAATTTTTTTTCGTTGTGTTGCACCAACTTTTTTTTCACGCAATTTTTATGGGTAATAGAGCACACAAAGGAGCACAACATATATTAATTTCGTGATTGTAAGTCACAGAGAACTCAGAAAAAAATGATTTTTTTTATTTTTTATTTTTTTTATGTAATTTTTTATTCTAAAAATTATAAAAAAATATATGTGATATACTCTGTAATGTAACCTAACACCTCGCGTTAGTTTCACTTCTTTATCTTAATTAGCTTCAGAGTTATATCACATTCAGTAATAGTCAAGCATACGGATATTTTGCTCTCTATCTCAAGGTCAAAGCGGAAGTCGGTCGCGAAAAGTACATAAATCGTGTTTGAACATCAAGTCGATATTAAAATATAAGTTTCGATATCGATTCCCATTTGGGGGCCGACTCGTCATACGTATCCGGCTAAACCCTTTGACTTATAGTCGTAGCTTGAAGTGTAGCCGCGTGTACCACCTATCCTAAAAGAAAAAAAAGAGAAAAGTTTTAATTTTGGACATATTTGTTTACATCGAATAAGCTCCGAAACAATTACACCGATTTTAAAAATTCGTTCTCCTGCGTGGTACATCATGTCGCGGGAAAACAGCTAATGTTAGATAAATTATAATTTTATTGTAATTGAAATCACCACCAGCCCTTTTACGTTCTCACTGCAGGGGCTCAGGCCTTCCTTATGGATGGTTAAGGAGGATGGGCCATGACCCTCCACGCTGGCCCAATGCGGATTGAAGGGTAATTGAAATATTAATAATAAATTAGATGTAATTTCTGTTTTTCAGTTATAATATCAGTGTGTTGGGTGGCGGGTGCCGGAGTTGGTTTGCTACCATTGTTTGGATGGCATGCTGCCGACACAGCTCCAGGGTGCTATTTCGTCGAGGTGATGGACTACAACTACCTCGTGTTCCTCTACTTCGCTACCATCGTCACACCCAGTGTGCTAATGGCTGCTTTCTACGCTCACATTTACAGAGTCGTTGTGAAACAGGTATTTATGAAATCTATTCTTTATCAGTTAGCAACCGGCGGTCCAATGCAGTCCACGGGTTTTTAAAGCGGGTAATTCGCTAGATGGGCATGCCCGCGAGCAAGTATGCAGACATGGCTGCTATATATTTTTACTATAAATCTGTGTTATGACTACAACGGTCTTACATTAGCCAGACATGCCCAATTACCAGGACTATAGTAGCGAGGTCCGACTGGCATGCCTGTCTATTGAATTCCCCGCTACTTGCGGCTCGTGATTGTTTTGAAAAGTTATTATACATTAGATATTTTATTATAACTTCAAAATAATCGCGTTTTATAATAAATTGATTTATGTAATAATGATGCTTTCCAAATTTCTTTCTATAAAACCAAATATTTTGTTAAGTTTAATAGCAGTTTGTGACCATATTTACAGACTAAAAAGGTTTGATTTATTACAATTTTGATATGCGAACAAACTTATTCAACAAATATTTCGAGTCCCATTTCGGAGTGCCATCAGCCTCAGGTGGTGTTTTTTATTATTATTTTTTATTCTATGTCAATTGACTAATTAATAAACATATGCTTCTTATATCATAGATGATCGTTGAGATCTAACTACATAATGAAAACCTATTTATTCTACAATTTTCATTCGTCATCCTTTTTCAGTTCTATTTATAAAAATGGTTTAGTGTGGGTGTTTTTTCGTCCTATAAAACTCAAACATACCCAAGTTAATAGGTGTAGTCAATGGAATATGACCAATTATACAAGTGCGGCACGGTTCGTCTTTAATTTAATTCGCCATATTCTGACCTTTGCCTGCCAAAAGGTTGTTGACCGCTGATCTATATCTTCACACCGACGTCACAGGGTTGGTTGAGAAAACCTAGACCTACAAAGTTTGGTCTTTACACTTTTTTTCGCTTCCTGATTATTCAACACTGTTGATTATTTTTTACGGCTTCTGACATTACCTGTCGTTAATCTACAATCAATCTGAGCGTACAAATTGTGTCTTGATATTAAGGAATGAAAAATCATTTTTTGTGAAATTCGGTTTAAGAAATTCTCGTCGATTAAAATCCGCATAATTCCAAATTATAGAATTAAACGTAGAATCTTGCACAAGCATAACATCAGGTTTATCTGGAAGTCTAGAATAAGAGCTGAGGAATCAAATATATTCAAGCAAAATAAGGCGTCATTATTAAAGGACTTCAATTAAAGGTTTATAATTTCAAAGAAAATATTTGTTTGTATATTTTACAAGGCGTATCGATTTTACTGCGCACTAAAATGGAAAGAAGAGCAACTGAACTATTTGTATGAAGACATAACGCGCACGTTTTTTATAGTAACACCGGTAGTTTTTGTTATTTGGTTCTAACTGTTGGACAGGCCTATGCACCAGCAGTGGGGAAGCTGATAAGCTAACAACGATGATATAAAGGTGGATGCTTACTGGCAGATTTTTAATTAAGATTAGCTTAATACTCCAGTATAGCAGGCCAGTGTGCACAAAGTACCCTCGGACCACGTAAGCCGCTAGTAACAATTACTTTTATAATATTTCTAATGATTTTGAATAATAATAAAGAAGAGTCGAAGCTGTCAAAATTGCGCTAATTTGAAACACATTTGTAGTCACGCATATTGAATTGAAGATTAAATGACTACAAACTCTTGTATGCTTGTCAAGGTTACGTTTCGCGCAAAAATGCCAGAATATATCTAGGTATATTTTTATACATCTTTCATTATAATTTTAGAGTCGATGGTTTTTTTATTTATATCAAAATAGTTCCTGAAAGTTACAAGGCATATATATAAATTATAAATTGATTTATTTCACGTTCTTATATAATAGATATATGTAACAATTTCCAGCTATTCAGAATAATATATTGGTAGTGTGAATTTAGATTTAGTTTTCACCTTTTCGCTTGGAGATAAATCTTTAGAATATTTTATTTGTTCTACGGAAAGTTTGTTAGTGAAATGATATAATCAAACTTTTACCTTGTATTTATTATAAGAAGAAAGTTGCCAAGGTAACAAACTTGTTTTCCTGATTTTTTAAAGACTTGTCGACATTTGTTTAATAAATTTTTGCTACTGACCTTCGAACATCGTAAACCTGTTTTGACGGTACTTACATGTACCATATGTAATATTTTTGCACATACAATGGTGCATCCGATTAACTTAAAATGTTTCCGCCATCCATTTTGAACACAATAGACTTCGGATTAAGGTTCAAAATCTTTGCAAAAATGTATCAGTTATGGATTTCCTGATATGCCGTAGACTTTACATTTGTATTTATAGCTAGACGTTAGTAGCTGTTGTAAAAAGTTTATACTGCAATTGAACTGGGCTTCTTTTTTGAATATTGGCAGTGTATAAATAAAGCTGCTCAGATTCCTATAGGCCAATATTTTCTTGAAAATTAAAAATAACATTAAAAACCTGAAGGTATAACATTATATATAAGGTATAACATAAAAACCTGAAGGTACACATTATATCCAGAAGTCAAATTAGTAAATTTTCTAATCAATCGTCGTGATTGAAAAGATCTCAAAATCCCTATTACGCATTTATTACGAACACTTATGAACTGAATAAGGATTAAGTAATATATCTAAAAGTTTAAAGAAATATGTGTATTTAATCTCATTTATTCAGTTGTCTGTATTGTTCGTTGCCAATTAAGACGATGTCTTGAGGCGCTACACATAAGCCGATGAGTACATTCGGGTCGCTAATTTTATTAATAATTATTACTTTATCCATAAAATTTTCCGAATAGAATGTGCCGATCCGAATATGTGCAAAGTTTTCCTTACGTGTTGAAGATTCCGATTATATTGTAAAATTTTCTTATTCCAGTTAAGCCAAGTCGTGACTGTAGAAGGAAGTAGAGGGCGATTAGCTGGCGGGACCATGCTTCGAGTACTGGGAGCTGCTCAAAAGCGCGAGGTGAAGGCGACGCAGAATCTTGCAATTATCGTTTTCTTCTTTATAATATGTTGGATTCCACTTTATACAATTAACGCTATAAAAGCCTTTATGCCGGAGTTAGATATACCGAACACTTTAACATATTTCTGCATTATTTTCTCACATCTCAATTCGGCCATTAATCCATTGTTATACGCTTACCATTTAAAAGACTTCCGAGCTGCATTAAGGGGCTTGATATGTACTTTGATTGGTCGGGGAGTGGTACCTATTCCCGCAGCATACAGACCACCAGTGCCGGTGAGAAGACCGGCGTTAGAAAGATGTAACGCTTTGAGAGAAAGGCCCAGGATATACGTACATTCACCCGTGTGGTTGAGACAAAGAGAAGTTGAAATGGCTGCCGCCGAACAAAGGAGTAGAGCTATGGCGACTACTATTCCCATAATACCAGATGGTGAGCCATTCCTTAATCGGATCGCTACAGATAGTTCCAGCGGCCGACACACGCCTGAAGGTCGCGAGGATGGTCCTTATCTCATACATTCGAATGAGGAAAGATGTCAAAGTCCTTATAAATGCGTTGAGGACTTCCTTAGACGAGTGCGTAGCGTTAACGGTGACAGCTGACACGAGTCATGCCGGGGCTTTCCGGCATATAGCGTTACTTGATCTTAGAGCTTTAAATTGTGCTGATGAAGACATTCCTACGAATACCTCACAAGACGAGGCTGTGTTTGATAGACGACGTTTGTTAGATAACTTATAAAACAAAGTTTCTCTAGTGGAAGTTATAAATAAATATGGTACCTATTTATTAAATGAAAAACTATTCTTGTATGTATACATTTTTAGATAACTGATACTGAATAACTTATTGTGCTGTATTTATATTGTAGCTTGTTCAATGATTGTCAATTGTTGTATCAAATGCGAATTAAATTATTAAAAAAATATATTTGTGATTAATAAAATTGTCCTTATTATTCATGCAAATTCTAAAGTTTTGAAACATTACAAAATTAAGACCATCCCGGCTCTATATTAATTCCTTTAATGTTACCAAGATTAAAATACGCTTTAGATTGTAGACTTGTTTTTGTTGCTGATCCACAGAAATAGATCTGGATAAATCGAATTGGTTTCAAGGAGATCGTGTTTGTAAATATAATAAGACAGTAGTACAGACAGTAAGTAATTTATGTGAATATGTATGTGATGAAAATAATAAAGTGGGGACGTTAAAGTGTTATTTTTTTTAAATATCTGAGTAACTAGTTTTATATTTTCTTCCGGCAAACAAAATCCGGGACATTCGTCAGTCGGCTGACTGGCTGATTCGTCATTCGTAAAATTCGTAATCTGACTTTAGTTTAAAATATGTCATAGGAAAAATAAAAAAATAATAATTAGGATGTGAATTGAATTGATACAAAATTAATTAGAAATTGAGATTCGGGACAACACTATTGAAATTGGGACTGTCCCGGATAATTCGGGACTGGTGGGAACCCTGGTTATGACTGAAGGACTTTATAATCTCTTTGAGGAAATATCAAAGTTTTTCCTGTTAACTTAATTTTTTACCTTATCGATTCATACGATTTCTAATCTACTCCGTCTCTATTAGGTTTGTGAATTGAACAGAAACTAAAAATATTAAATAAATAAAACAAGACTTGAAAGAATCTGAAAAAGGTGAAAACTAATTCCTACTAATTTATAAGTCGGTTAAAATATTAAAGTTCATTATTTAAGTTTACTTTGATGTAGGTAGTTATTTTAACTTTAGTTTGACTAATACTAACTTCGCAAACGTAATGGTAATTAATTGGCTGTATTTCGTTAAGAATGGAGTGTAGAAAGTTCGAACGTTGGCCTTGGTTCAGTTTGTTTAAATAAAATACTAGCGACATCTGTTCGTTGATTAAACAAGCAGCTGCTTGAAGAAACATACGAAGTGTGAAAGCTTTTGCAATTGAAGACAGGCATTAGTTAGTTTAGTCGCTTGTCGCTAGATAGAGACACATGTTACCTTATATAGTATTATAATTAAGGAACTCTTGTAAGTAGTTTTCATATAAAAACAGGCTCATTAGCATATTATACATTGGTATTATTTTTTGCAACTGATCAGGGATATTTGAGTTGATATTATTAATGAATTGTAATATCACACATACACTGTGCTAAATTTTTTGCGGATCACATAACTTATATAGCTCCGCAACCCTGTACCTGGACATATAGATAAAGGTTGTGAAACTCTGACTTTGGTTTTTGATAGATCCATACAGACTCAGCAATTTCTATATTTTTTATGTGCGAATTATTTACAAATATTTAACTTTATACACATGAAATAGGCAAAAACAGTTTAATTCTGCTGCTTCTCTGTATACGGTAAGTATATCCAGATTTAAAAAAAGGTGTTATACATTACACATATACGATATATGGTTGAGATTGTAAAGCTAAAAAAAATAACATAGACTTAAAATTTTTACACAGAACTAAAATATATAAAGAAAATTTGAGGTAAAACTCATCTTAAAGGTTATTTTAATCAAAAGTTATATGTTGATATTAATTTCTTTCCTTCAAGCGAGTATTTTCAGTATTACTATAGTCAGTGTATATTACCATAGATAGATAAAGTAAACCCATTTTATATTATTCGATCTGTATCATTTTTTAATAATTAATAGCTGTAATTGCAGGTGAGTAACATCTAATCCGTATAATTAAAAATAAGTGTCTAAAATTACAGATAGCACCTGACATCTGTCTGCCATAAATCTGTGATAGCTTTTCAGGGCGTCGTTTCGTTAACAGTTTTTTTTAAGATTTAAATTCTTTTGTTTGTTGATTTTTATATATTTGTTATTATTTTTTAAATAAGTAACCTTTATCAACTAAGACGTCTGGTATTCTTAGGATTACTTTTTCGATCTAAAGCCCTCCTCCACGAAAAGTTCGACTTTATTTAGTTTCAGCACTAACTAAGATTTTCTATTCGGTTTGACTAGCCAAATCTATAAGTGCCAAAGTTCGATGCTTGACTATTAGACTGAGGTTTTGTGACAAAAACCTGTAAGTTTTCTAACAGTTAAAACTGCAATATCTGAGAGTACTGTAAGTGTACATCACTCAACAAAACCCATATACAGAAGTTAGTGCTGGAACAGCTGGTGGCGGATACGTAAATCAAGTTTCTAGCGATCGCAGAATGTGGTTCTTCCTTTAATCTGAGTATTTATTTCTGATTAATTAACAATAATTTAATAATTAATGAATTTTCAGCCATTACGATATTCTTTTTGACACCTGATTTAACGCCAACTTCTGCAAATTGATGAGTTGCTGCGTTCCGTTGTGTTATCTTTAATCTTAATATTTGTGTTATCTGTAATTGTGTTATCTGAGCAATCTATTATACTTTTCATTTTCGTCAATTTATAATTATTAAGAAGCACTTTTAAGGCATGTTAGCATTTTACTTGGGTATTTCCTCTCGGCCGCCATCGTTAGGTGTTCTAACATTTTATTTCCACACTTAATACTATCAAATTCTTGTATATTTTAGTCATGAGTTCTTTAGATATACATACAATTTATTACTTTAATCCTAGACAACAAAAAAAGAAAATGGAATTTATTATAATTTCAGCTCCAGTGTAAAAATTCAGTTTCAGAATTCATTTCCTCTAATTACAATTTCAGTTTAAGTGCAAAAACTTTAGACAAAATTCATTTCCTCCAATTATAATTTCAGTTTCAGTGCAAAAGCTTTGGCCACAATAATGATAACAGCCGGTGACTTTTTTTCAAATAAATAAAGTATCATCTCAACTCCCAGTAATAGTAATATATGATATTACATTACACCACAAATTTAATGATACTATATTATACTCATAATTACCTACCATTAGGTATGAGTAATTAAAAGTATTACTTTAGCGCCTTAGGATTTTAAGTTCATTTATTTTTTGTGTCGCAAGGCTCGCAAGTAAAGTTAACTTTGATTAAAATGGATACGTTTAAATCTATTTTTCGTAGGATAAAAAGGCGGGTACTGGAAAATAGTTTTGATAGCTTACTCGGGATTGTGGATACAGTACCAAGCCTAGTTGGCTTTTCATTGCGCAAGGATACAATTTTTGGTTTGTCTTACAACATTCTAATTACTCTCCTTGTGTATAATTTAGTTCAGTTTTTTCCTAATTGTTCCATAATCTCTTATCTGTTGATCTGTTAAGCAGTTCTTTAATCTGCTAAGCATTTTTTTTATATGGATTTTGGTAGTTAAATGTTATTAATAAATTATGTATTTTGCTTTTTTGGGGTGCGAAACTTGACTGGCAAATTCAATCAGGTGGGTTAAGAACAAAAAAGATTATACCCACAGTTGTCCATCTAATAACTTCGATAAATTTCAATTCAATACATAAACTAAAACAAGAAGATGCTCCCTTTTTGAAAAAGAGATTTTTGAATATGTTTTACTGCCTTTCGGGTTAACAACTCTTTTCTGTTTAAAGTGTTTGGTCCAACAAATAAGATCAATAGAAATTGAAAAGATTCCGATAATTTATATCAATTAATTTTACAGTTCCTTATTTTATATTCCATTCTACTTTATTGGTATACATATACGGTGTGGGCTGCGTTACGTTTTTGGTGAAGTACGTTAATTCAGCTGGAGAATTCGTCAAAACGTTTTCCAATATATCTTTATTCGTCTTGATCACGAATAATACATACTGGTGGTGGACACAGAAGTAAGTTTCTATTTTAAATAATATACTTTGGGTCTGTGATGCGGAAGCCAAGCAACTTACACATGGGCCATCACCAAAAATTGCTATTTCGAGCTCCTCCATTCTTAAGAACGCGTGTTAAATCATTGGTCCAGGCTGTGTATACAGTCGTTAAGATCCATTAAATACTTAAATCCAGAAAAATGTTCTGTGTTCTATGGATTACATCCACAGGGTAGGCTTTAGCTTCGGCAGTAGGTACATAAATAAGCTGATGATGATAATTATTATTGTTGCGGATCTTCCTGGATCTTGAACAGATTTACACGTAGCTAGCCGATGCTTGGACTGTATAATTGAAACTTCCTTCGATGGTTTTCACTTCTTCTTTATTCTTAAATCTTGAGGGCCGGAGAGCTTACAAATTTCGCTCAAATCGACCCGTCTTACATTTGTTGGGGTGGCTCGCACTTAGCTCCGTATATTATCAGTTGGTTAGCCTATTACACATCTAACCCCTACTTTGCGAAGCCATCCCCCACCCTTAACATCTATGTATCACATTATTGTTAATTACTACGTTTTACTGTTTCTACATTTACATCATAAATCACGTTAAAACATCATCATATTATTGTTACATAACTCGTATCGTGTCGGGTAAGACCGCGCCGTCGAAGCTCATAATCATTCTAAGGCGCGCCGCGCTCTTGCCCGATGTATTTATGTGGTCAGAGCGAGACGGAAGATCCCGCGTAAACCAGCGCCGTCTCGCTCCGATACATTTTTATCGTTAACATGAAGGTAGTCGAACATTTTACATTTTAAACACCCCTGTATCGAGGCAATACCGTATAGAAACCCACA